CGCGCGAATGTGTAATGAATTGTGTGCGTGTGCACGGTATATCGTGCGTGCGTGCTGTGCAAGGTACGCTGTGCGTGCGTGTGTGCGTGCGTTTGATGTACCGTGCGCGCAGTGCGTACCTGCATATGCACGTGACATGCGTGCACGCTCGTGCGTGCGTGCGTGTGCACACGTAACGTGCGTGCGTGCGTGGGCACGGTACAACATCGTGCCGTGTGTGCCACGTAGCGTCGTGACGTAGCTGTGCACGCTCCGTGCGTGTGACGTGAACGTGTGGCTGACGTGATGCACGTCGCGTGTGCATATAGAGTATGTGCGTGCGTGTGCGCGTAATCGTGCGGTGCGTGCGCGCTAGTGCGCTGGCGTCCGTCGTGTGCGTGTAAAAATGTGTAAAAAATGTTTATACAAAGCAGCGGAATGTGCTACTAAACGAGGCGAAATGGGCTGCTAAACAGCGGACTCTGCGCGGAATGGGTAAGAATGTGGCGCAAATGTTGCCCATCAATCTAACTGCCGCAATGTAATAAATTGTGTAAAAAAATATTATACAAACAGCGAAATGTGCTACTAAACAGCGGACTGTGTAGTAAACAGGAATGTGCGCGGGATGGGTAAGAATGCTGGCGCAATGTGCACAATAACTGCGCACATGTACAAAATGTGTAAAAAAATCATTATACTAAACAGGCGGAATGTGCTACTAAACAGCGAACTGTGGTACTTCAAACAGCGAACATGTCGCGCGACATAGGTAAGAATGTCGTCGCAATGTGCATCAATACTGCGCCCAATGTTATCAAATGTGTAAAAAATATGTATACTAAACAGCGCGAAAATGTGCCTACTAAACAGGGAATGGCCTAGCTAAACAGCGGAATGTGCGCGGGGATGGGGGCAAGACAATGCTGGCGCATGGCATAGCAATAACTGCGCCAATGCTATCACAAAATGTGTAAAAAATATTATAACTAAACAGCGAAATGTCTGCCTGCTAAACAGTTGAAATGTTGCTACTAAACAGCGGGAATGTGCATCAATAACTGGCCGCAGATGTATCGAAAATGTGTAAAAAATATTTATACAAACAGCGAAATTGTGCTAGCTAAACAGCCGAAATGTGCCTCTACTAAACAGCAGAATGTGTAAGAATGGCGCCAATGTGCATCAATACTTGGCGCAATGTATCAACAATAGTGTAAAAAAATGTTATACGCTAACCAGCAATGGTGCGCGGAATGTGTAAGCAATGTGTGCGTGTGCACGTAACGTGCGTTGCGTCGCGGTGTGCAAGTACGCGTGGCGTGCGTCGCGTGGCGTGCGTGCCGTGCGTTTGATGTACAACGTGGCGCGCGTGCGTACCCTGCATATGGCACGTACACATCGTGCACGCGTCCGTGCGCTGCGTGTGCACGTATGACGTGCGTGCGTGCGTGCGTGTGGCACGTACACCATTGCGTGCGTGGTGTGCACGTAGACGTGCGTGCGTGCGTGCTCACGTACACGGCGTGCGTGCATGAGTATCGTGCGTGCGTGGTGACACCGTACACGTGCGTGCATGAGTATGTGCGTGCGTGTAGTAGCACATTTCGCTGTTTAGTATAACATTTTTTACACATTTTGATACATTGCGGCAGTTATTGGTGCACATTGCGCCACATTCTTACACATTCCGCGCACATTCCGCTGTTTAGTAGCACGTACATTTCGCTGTTTAGTAGCACATTTCGCTGTTTAGTAGCACATTTCGCTGTTTAGTATAATATTTTTTACACATTTTGATACATTGCGGCAGTTATTGATGCACATTCCGCTGTTTAGTAGCACATTTCACTGTTTAGCAGCACATTTCGCTGTTTAGTATAATATTTTTTACACATTTTGATACATTGCGGCAGTTATTGATGCACATTGCGCCACATTCTTACCCATTCCGCGCACATTCCGCTGTTTAGTAGCACATTTCGCTGTTTAGTAGCACATTCCGCTGTTTAGTATAATATTTTTTACACATTTTGATACATTGCGGCAGTTATTGATGCACATTGCGCCACATTCTTACCCATTCCGCGCACATTCCGCTGTTTAGTAGCACATTCCGCTGTTTAGTAGCACATTTCGCTGTTTAGTAGCACATTCCGCTGTTTAGTAGCACATTCCGCTGTTTAGTAGCACATTTCGCTGTTTAGTAGCACATTCCTGCACATTCCTGCACATTTCGCGCACATTCCTGCACATTCTTGCACATTCCGCGCACATTCCTGCACATTCTTGCACATTCCGCGCACATTCCTGCACATTTCGCTGTTTAGTAGCACATTTCGCTGTTTAGTAGGACCCGGGGAGAGATAGTGATCCGCTAGGGGACGGCTCTGATTGGCTAATTTTGTCTCTTGTCTATTTTATTCTTGGCTAATTTTGTTTTATTTTAGAATTAGGGATAGGGTTATGGTTAAGGTTAAGGTTAGGGTTAGGATTAGGGTTAGGGTTAACTGATTTCTATATCCACAATTTATTTCTATATTCACTATCTCTCCCCTGAGACCTATTATTTTTCTATCAATAGCGTAGCGGCCATTACCGGGTCAATCTACATCATTGCCGGCGTATATTTACACTACAAAATTGCACATTTGAGTGTTTTTACTGTGTATATTGTTCTCAGCATATATCTAACTAAGATTAAGCACCAAGAGAAAGTAAAATGCAAATAACACCCATGTCCACCTATGAAAATTATCATGGCTATTTTCCATATATTTTCATGATAAAATATTCAGACGAAATTTTACCAGGGAAAATAAATGCTCAACGTGTACTTTTATGTTACGTCACATTAAATTATGTTATATGTTATATGTCATGTTATGTTAATTGTGCCTTTGAGCGCGAACTCGAACAATAAACAAGTAGGTGCATAATAAATGAATTATTTTAGCTAGTTAATTACTCTAAATCTACCATCTTATAGTGGGCACGCAAACATGTGGGAGTGAAGCTGCACAAAATATCGTATTATTATTTTTATTATTATTAAATCGACATTGTATATAATTCAAATACAACTACATGTACTAAAATCCGTCCTTTTATGGGGGAAAAATTGATGGATGCAATAGTGTTGACTGTTGAGCAGTTAAAATAATTAAATTTCTACGTAATACAGTACAACGTTATAAAACACGAAGAAAAAAATACAATACGATCACGACAGCTTTTTCTGTACAAGTAAAGTATCATTTTACACATGCGCGCGGGCACACACACACACACACACACACACACACACACACACACACACACACACACACACACACACACAGGGGCGCAAATCCAGGGGGAACAGGGGGACATGTCCCCCCCACGAATTTTCAGAGGGGGGACATCATATCAAATGTCCCCCCTACGATGTTGGATCACCATTATTTTGTGTGTAAGTGTGTGGAGCGATTTTTTCTCGTATCTTCCAAAATTTTCGCTCTCGTAATTGTTGTTACCAGAGCGCTTTGAAAGCTGATGGGAGCGAAATCGCTCGCCGCTCCCGTGTATTTTTTTCGCTGATACAAAGTAAGATTAAATTTAATCTATGCTATTATTAACCGATTATCCGATTATAATCGATTATCGATCGATTAAGGGAAACCGATAATCGATTATGAAATTCCAGCCGATTTCCATCACTAAACACAAACCACCCGCCCACCCCGCCACGTGCGGAAATACATAGTTCCCGCTGACTGGCTGGAGCTATGGGCTGGAGTAAGTTGGTCCCCGAGCATTCGTAATGGCTGGTTCTATAGCCCAGCGGCAACTGTACGCGGGCTATAGTACTGGAGCTATAGGTTCTGCAGCCCTGAAGTCAAGTTTCACAAACCCCAGCAGTATAAAATGATATGGGCAAGTTGTAGGTTGGTCAAATAACATATTTGTCACCGTGTCAAGTGTGATTTACAGGAGTAAAATGATACAATTTGAAAAAAATTTCATGTTACAAAATTAAAGGGGCCCAAGGATAGAGAACATGGGTCCCAATAAAACCAATGTGCCTAACCCTAATTCTAACCCTAATTCTAACCCTAACCCTAACCCTAATTCTAACCCTAACCCTAACCCTAATTCTAACCCTAACCATAACCCTAACTTATTATATTGATATTCCGAGGGGAGATTCCCTCGAACTTTCCACGTAAATTTGTGTAACAGACCACTGTAAAACGTCAGTAAATAACTCGCTACACTTTAACTGAACGTTAGCTTTGAAAATAAAACTGTACAAGGCATGGTCATGGCCGTCCGGTTTGCCGGAGAGGTGAACGGACCGGACCGTAGGCGTAGATGCCTAGGGCTCATAGGGTCTATGTCCCTTAGGGTACTGCCGGAACGTACCCTGGGTACGGTCCGGTATACCGGAACGTACCCTGGTCACTATTTGATATGGTTAGGGTTAGGATTAGGGTTAGTGTACTGCCGGAACGTACCCTGGGTACGGTCCGGTATACCGGAACGTACCCTGGTCACTATTTGATATGGTTAGGGTTAGGATTAGGGTTAGGGTTAGGATTAGGGTTAGGGTTAGGATTAGGGTTAGGGTTCGGGTTAGGGTAGCTCCAGGAAACGGTATTGCTAGGGTTAGAATACCCTATGACGTATTGACATGGTGTATTGACGTTGTATTGACGTCAAATATTGAACGTCAAATATTGTTTCAACATATTGAAATGGTGTATTGACGTTAGTCACACAGCCTGGTCGGGTTAGGGTTAGGGAGTAGGCCTAGGCGACTCCCCGAACCCCAGGCTCGTTAGTGGAGTAGACGAGGTACGGTTCGGCATATTAGATAGTACCAGGGTACGTTCCGGTATACCGGACCGTACCCAGGCCCAGGGTACGTTCCGGCATAGATACAATAATGTACCCCAAACCCAAGAGGATAGGGTTATGACACCCTATCCTCTTGGGTTTGGGTTACATTATTGTATCTAGTTCCGGCAGTACCCCGGAGGACATAGACCCTCTCACTCTCAGCATAACTAGGCCTAGGCTAGTGTACCTTAATTATCAGGGTTATTATCGTCTCTTCTCGTCAAACAGATTCAGTCTAAATATTACTGCAACAAACCGTCAAACGGTAGTAACCTGTCACTATCAACAACGCTATTCGAGTAATCGACTAAATCGAGTAATCGAGTAAACGAGTAATCGAGGTGGGAGCGAGTACCAGTCTAGTTTGGACAGGGGAGAGCCGGTCCTACTAAACAGCGAAATGTGCTGCTAAACAGCGAAATGTACAGGAATGTGCGCGGAATGTGCAAGAATGTGCGCGAAATGTGCAGGAATGTGCAGGAATGTGCTACTAAACAGCGAAATGTGCTACTAAACAGCGAAATGTGCAGGAATGTGCGCGGAATGTGCAAGAATGTGCGCGAAATGTGCAGGAATGTGCAGGAATGTGCAAGAATGTGGCGCAATGTGCATCAATAACTGCCGCAATGTATCAAAATGTGTAAAAAATGTGCTACTAAACAGCAAAATGTGCTACTAAACAGCGAAATGTGCTACTAAACAGCGGAATGTGCTACTAAACAGCGAAATGTGCTACTAAACAGCGGAATGTGCGC